AACCGTATTCTTAATGGTATTTCAACTCTACATAATTTAGTTCTAAACATAATTAACTTCGTTTTCTCTTTGTTTAATATCAATTTATTACCTAGAAACCAGTCACGTGCCCTTGTAAAAATATCGTTGCCTTTATCACTAACGTCAGTGAGATTATTTCCACCTATAAGCAGGTTGGTATCATCCGCATAGCATATTATGCTCTCTTCTTCTGACTGTGTTACTAAATACAAGTCATTCACAAAAATAATAAATAAAATTGGACCAAGAATACTACCTTGTGCTATGCCCAGACTATTTTCCTTAATATCCGAAAAATAACTAGTGCCATTTTGGGTTATTCTTACTTGTTGCTTCCTTCCTATTAAGTATGATTCAAACAATTTTAGAACATTACCTCTTACACCATATAAATCCAATTTTTTGAACAATAAGTCCCTGTCTATACAGTCGTATGCTCTAGAAAGATCTAAGCACGTACCTAAAGCTATTCTTTCGCCCTCCAAGTGTTTTAAAATTGTTTTTATAAACTGAAATATAGCGGTTTCTGTTGATTTATTAGCTACATAACCATGCTGATGATTGTTGAACATTTTATATTTATTAAAAAGCTCTAGGAGTCTTTTGCAAATAGCCATCTCAAATATTAATAATATAATCGAAAAAATGCCCTAAATAAATGTTATTGCAAAAATTTTTGAAACATTTTTAAAAAATACTCGGTAAAATTTTATGCCGTCCAATTTCTACCGTTGAAATGTGGACACGGACTTTTATTTTTTGCTAAATTTGAAGTTGATATCTGCAAATTTAGTACACTTAACACCCTGTACGATAGGTGAAAACCTTAAATACAAAAGTTTTTTCTGTCTATGCGGGCTATATCGCAATATAAAAGAAAGTGAGATCAGAGATTTTCAATAATAGGGGATCGAATTTTTCAGTTTTTTTGAATATGCGGCTCACCGTGTATATTTTTGAAAAATTGTCAAAAATAAAAGTTTATAGAGCCGTATCTTCTGCGTCTTCTGGTTCAAAAATTTTTTTGATCTCCAAAACAGTTTTTGAAATATAACGTTTTTGTAGACGCTTGCACACGCCATTTTTTGTTTTTTTAGGATATTGTGCCAAATATGAAATCGATTGCTTCAAATTTCGGACACTTATCGTGTTTCATAGCAAGGTCCAAAAATCAATCGAAAATCGCGAAAAAAAGATGGATACCGGCGTCGCATCAGGGCCATTTCTTATAAGCTTATGTGCCTCGTGGAGTGTTAAAAAGGAAACAAATTTCAATTTTGTAGCTCCAACGGTTCGAAAGTTATTCAGGAAAAACCAAAAGACGAGAACGGAGAACGGAGAAGGAGATTGGACAACAGACAAAAAAAAATTTTTTTCGACAGTGATCATTCCTGTACCAACGGCGATCCCATAGGACCTACGTTACCGAGATATAAAATTTTTATACCAGCGCAGATACTTTCGAAAATCCAATTTCATCGACTTTTGAAAGTAACAAGCAATAGGAATATAAAGGACGAAGTAACAGGACACACTATATGAGCACTAGGAGAAAAGTGAAAATATATAAAAGTAGCATAAGACAGAAATGCGAACACTAAGATTAATAACATAATATGTGTTATTGGACCGGAAGAGAAGTGAAGAAATGTGTGTGAAGTGCGTGAGACTCAAGGTAGAGTAAGATGGGCAAGAAACCTGGGATGTGTAAACAGAATGGCAAATAAACGGTTAGTTTCGGGTACAAAATCAAATAAATACACCTCGACGACCTATAAGACGCTAAGAAAGCTGGTCTTCAGCATCCCAACTGGGAAACTATTGACGGAAACACATTACTTAGTCCTAACGTAAGGAGACGAAGAAGCAATCCTATTTTAGAACTGGAAATATGACCACCAAACACACATTCCCCGTTAGCGGACTTTGTCGTTGTTGAAGCAAGAACCAGTGGCCGTCGATCGTCGACTGTTCACTCAATAAACTCAAACGGGACGATTGAAAACGAGGTGAAAAGATCAAAATATCGCGACGAATGTGGAAAACGCATAATTACCTGATGGAATTGCAACTATACATTTTTGCCGGGTTCTAAATTGTAATTTATGGAAATTAACGCTCGGTTCATTAATATTTACGCGTTCAAAATGGTAATCGAGTCAAACTTAACGCGTTTTGGAAATGTACCGTCTAAAGTTTTTTATATAAAAAAAACTCGATATCATTTCGAGTAGAATAATGTTCAATGATAATGATTGATTGACGAAGGTATAATGGTTGTTTTCTCTTTTCAGCTATAATTAAACGTCGAAGATTGCTTCGGAATATTTTTAATTTCAATACAACCGTTATCGATAACCGGAGAGAGCATCGACGCGCCAAAAATGAACCGCGAATTAGACGGACAGTATTTTTTCTTCGAAAAGTTTTAATTGCTTCGACCTTGGCTCGGACTTAAGATGAAACATTGACGAGGTGTCAATATTCCCGATGGCGGCATTAGGTTAAGAAAACAACATCAACAAAAATAAATCACATTCCATCGGCTGGTTTTAATATCATATCTTAACCTTCGTCAATCCTTGTCCGTATGCGATGAACGCTTGGTTAATTGGTTTAAAAGCTTGGAAGTAAACATAATTTGTTTACTACCGCTTTCAAAGTGCGTTTCGCGGTTCGGAAATTGATCGGAAAATTCGCGTTAATACTCGAGTGCGTAACGCGGAATCCGTGTCTACATGACGCAAAAGTCGGCCGATTCGATGATTTATTGTATTTATAGTGGCCCAAACCTTATGTCGAAATCTATGAGCGTTAAAAAAAAATTGAATACAAAAGTTGTTTCTAGTAAAATCATCTTTAATTTTGTTGTATTATTTATCGCGGAATTACGTACAAGATGGTCGAATAAAGTTACATTTTTTAAAAGACGAATCCAGTGATATATATAAATATTTATATGTTGGTCTGTAATGTACCGGGATTGAAGTGGCGTTGGAAAAGTTTTTGTTACGTTGTATATTAACTTTTAAACATTTTTCTGTGCCTAACATACTTTAGAAAATAATGCTTTTTCTTATATTCAAAATTGAAATATTTTTATCGAATACGCGTGTTGCGATGTTTAGCAAAATGGTACTTCTCTCAATTTTGTGTAAATCAAACACCCTCTATAGTTTGATTTTTTTGAATTTATTGACAATTTTTATCAATTTATTAACGCAATTATATAAATTTCTAAGCTTTTGTTTCAATATTCTGAAAGCGTTTCTAATATTTTTTTATGAAATTGCTGGTTATTTCAAATACCGTTAAATATGAAAATTCTTTATTAGAAAACAAATAAATAAATAAATATTATTTATATATTATTATTAATCATTTTAATTTAATTTAATTAATTTTAATTAATTAAGCCTAACTAGTCCGGGCGCTGACAAAAAAAGAAAGGTGATCAAAATTAACTCCAAGAAACTCATTTTGGGAATATTGTATTATTATTTAGAGGAAATTTTACAACTACGAAATCAAAATCAAAATAGAATAGAAACTTTACAAAGTGTTGTTTTTTTTTAAATTTCAAGACAGACTGTTGCGTGTCCAACAAATTATTTAAGTCATTTTTCCAAACTTGATAGCTCTCTTATATTGTTTTAGTCATTAATAATCCTTGATATAAACAGTATGATAAAGTAGTTATTAATAGAGAGATGATGCTCGTGTAATGGTAATAAATTTGCCATTCTCCATCTATCCACGTATAAAATTTCTGATACTTGAAAAACCCAAAACGACATTGAACATAAAACGAACGAAGAGTTAAAATATTGAACTAAAACTTTCCGCAGGCCCTCGGGCCTATTTATTATAGATATATATGTATATACGTGTTCAGACTCGACAGACCTATTAATATTTTCCGAAGATGTCGGGTGTTTTATGGCATGTTCCTAGTACACAAGCTTTTTTTTCTATATCTGACGCCACACTGTGTCTTTCCGTTCCGAAAGTCAATACAGGTTCGACTTCAATTTGAGGCAAATCGCGATACCGGCAAGAAACGCTCGAATATAGCAACACTCCAGTCCAAACTCGTTTAGACGATTAAGATTTTGTTCAGATATCCAGTTTCCGGCAATAAAAGGACTTCTAGTACACTTAAAAATACACGGCTGAGTTTAAATTAATAAAATCGCAATCACTTTGAGCTTTTATATGATGACGCAGCACAACCTGTCGAACTCAAAGTGAGAACGTAATTTTTTTAAATAGTACAATAGGAGTGAAAATTGTTTATTTTGTTTTTAAATGATGCTTAAAATGATTTTGTTTTAAATACGTGCAATAATTTTTGAAAAATTATTTTATTTTTTTTTTATTTTAATTTTTCTCTTCTTAAGGATTTGAACTTGTATTTTTTATTGTTTTGTGTTAGAAGAAACATTTTAATTAGTCTTACCAAGTCTTTCTTGTCCTTTTTCATCACCACATACCGTACAAACACAATTTCAAACAAGCGTTTTATATGTCTTAGTTGTCTTAACTATGGAAAAATGCCCATACATTGCGCAAGAGCATGCATGTTTCCATTTAATTCTGCAAAGTTCAGAGACAATCATACCAAATTCTAAAAAATTCTCTAAAGCTCTAAATAATAACAAAAATTCCCAATAAATTTACCTATTACCTTGAAAATTCTGGCTGGGCTTTACCGCGTTAAAAAAGAATAGAAAAATACGAGACGCAGGGCACGGGACTAAATAAAATTTGCTGCCTGTATATTAAAAAGTGCCCCTAGATATCTCTCTGGAAATCCAAGAGCTGCGTGGAGATTCCAAAGAGATTTCTCGGACATTCTTACACCTTGAACCGAGGTCAATATCTGTGTAGAGCTGACATCCATTCTAAAACATGGATTATTCTACCTTGATTTTGTTTCGAACACAATCAAATCAAATCAAAGGACCCGCCCTCCTAACCTGTTCCATATGAGGTAAATCTCCTGCGGCAGGCCGGAAACCAGCAGGACCAAATCGGACAGGGCCAAACTGAACAGATAGTAATTGGTGGCGGTGTGCAGCGACTTGTTGCGGGCAATGACGATGCACGTGGTGACGTTGCCCACCGTTCCTGTGATAAAAATCACCACGTATATCACTGTGACGGGCACGACGACGCTAAGCCCGTCCCGTTTCGGACCGTACAAGTTCACGTCGCAGAAGCTGTCATTCGCAAAGTCCATAGTCGTTTGAAAGGAACGCGCGAAACTAAGTTCCGATTTCCGACCGATGCGAGACGGTGGACGGAAGATCGCGCATCTTTAGAGAGGCGGCGGCGTGACGGCGTCAACTCAGATCCGATCGCACGAGGAACTGATATTCTATCAGCGCGGGATCCGGTCGCAAAGCGCGAGTTATCACGTACTGGCGCGCCGCTAGATGCGCTTTGGTTTGGCTCTAAATCGGGGATTCCTCGGATAGGGAAATTCGGCGTCAAGTCTCCGGTGGTGGCGGCGCCGACAGTAAACGAACATGACGGAAATTAACTAGCATAACTAACATATTGTATACCCTTAGACCGCTTATAAGTTTGATGATATCACACGCTCCGGTATTGGCGGTGCCGTTCTCGTAAAATATTTTTTTTTCAATTTATCTTGATAACATTTTAATTGGCTGTACCTTTTTTGTTTTTAGAGATATCAAGGTAAACAAAAAAACGAAATGTAGGGTTGGTATCCAAGTTTTTTTCCAAGTGACGTATAAAACAAAACACTATCAATTTTCGGAACATATAATCCTACATCATATTTTTCTAATAAAACACCCTGTATATAGAATATCTTATTCCGATTACAATGATGTAACATACATTATATTTTAGTCCACTCGTTTTTGACAAATGAGTAAAAATTGGAAATTTTCATATAGTGCCGTGACTGACAACAACAATAATTATTTACAAATTAAAGTATAAAAAAACACTAAAAATGACAAGATACACTAAAGTCAAAAATTCTTTAATTATTCTGCTGTATGTGACCACCATTTTCCGAAAAACATTTCTCATACACTCTAATTTTATAAGGTTTCCTTTGCCGAAGTTCCACGACATTTAGTCGGAGCTGTTGGCTGGCCAATCCATAGTTCCGTCGTTCCCTATCCAACCCCTGGGATATTCCAACATTGTGAGGAGAGGCACCATCTTGCTGCCATATAATCAGCGCTGATATATTTAGGGGTAAATCTTCTATATATTGTTCTATTTGGTGCTCTAAGAGTTCAAAATAATGATCCCCAATTAACTTTTGATCTTTAAATATCGAACTCAAAATATGCCCATCTATGACACCAGACCATACAATAATTGATTGATAACCCTGGGTTTTTATTTCGTGTATTTGTGTAGGATTATCTAAAGACCAATATCGCGCATTTTGTTTACTACAACCCTTTTATCAATCCATAAAATGTTTTTCAAAAAATTGTTATTCTCATTATGTCCTTTTAAAAAATAAAAAAAAAAACGCATCCTCCTTTAACATTGTTCTGCACTTAGTTTTTGAGTTTTACGAAATTTAAATGCATTATATTTTTATTCTTTCAAAACTGAATGGATTGATCCCCGAAAAATACCTCTCTCTTCATATGCTTTAGTAATAGAAAAAACTGGATGTGCTTCATAAATTCCTAATATGTTTGCCTTATTTTCTTAACTTATAACATTATTATTCCGGCATACCTTTTTAGCATTTAATACGTTACCGTTTTCTGCAAATTTCTTTGCCAGCCTTGGAAATATCCGTTTTGAAGGAGCTCGGCGCTCTTTATAAAGTCTAATATACTGACGAGATGCGGTTGCACTTTTTTTATTCAGAAAGTATACTCGAAACATATCAATTCCTTCACAGATGCTAAATTCGCGTAAAACCATTTTAACAAAAATGATTTTGACAATAATTCAACCATCAACGTTGTTTACTAATATGTCAAACATGATAGTATATTATGCAACTAGTGAGGTATCATGCAACAAGTGCGGTAAATGGCACTTGACTCACGAGTTTATTTGACACGAGCGGACCGCAGCGGAGCGAGTGTTTTATAAACAAGTGACTTAAAAAGTTTACCGAACGTGTTGCATACTATACTTTTTGTACAAGTTAGTTTTTGGGCACATTTTCGCAATACAACACGAATACATTCACTGACATGATCGTCAGAATTAACAAACGTCAAAATTCAAGGCGTGGGAAATATCTCTGAAAACATCCGATTGCTCCCAAACTCGTGCGGTGGCTCGGATTCATGTTAAACGAAACTGACGTGGCAAAGTGACGCTTCCCGCACGCTAGATCGGTGGGTAATTAGGCATTTTAAAGACGGGAAAAGAAAAACATATTTTCATTTGCCAGACTTTGTGATATAGGCTTGTATATCAGAAAATTGACAGTGTTTTGTTTTATACGTTACTTGAAAAAAAAAACTTGGCCACTAACTCTACGTTTTGTTCTCTTGTTTACCTTGATATCTTTAAAAACAAAAATGTTACACCCAATTAAAATGTTTTTAAGATAAATTGAACGCGCGGTGCGTTTTACTTTTGGGTTGTTGTACCTAAGAAGCAAATATGAAAATAGAAAACCACAAAGTTATTTAAAAGGCAGTTTTTACACCATTTTTGAAAAAGTAACAATACATTTTTCAATTATTTTCGTATGTTTATATCTACTTTCGTCTACTTAGTAGAATCACAAAATGACAAGACAGGACACTCTAACATATTTGTTATTAAACGTTTATTAGTACATAAACTCATATCACAGTAACAGACTAATAGAAAATTGACATTTTTCATTTTTCTTAAATGTCTTGAAAAAAAACCTTTTCACCTTAATTGAAAAATGATTGTGTGGAACATATTTTTCTTATAACGGTCAATTTTTTTCAACAAACGTCGAGAACAGCTATAAGTTCTCCATTATTAACAGTAATGGCGAATATATTTATGGAAGTCTTTGAGAAGAAAGCTCTAGGCACCTTCCATCTTAAACCAAAATTATGGAAACGCCACTCGAAGGCACTTTTATTATTTGCCCTCATGATCAGAATTCCTACTAGATTTTCTCTCACATCTAAAATCTATACGCCCTAATATAAGTTGTACCATTGAACTAGAAACTAATAATAACCTCTCCTTTTTATATATTCTTAGCAATAGAAAATCAGACCTAACATTGGGACATTGTGTTTACAGAAAACTTACGCACACAATTCCATACCTAAATGCATTATCACATTAAAATCATAGGTTATTAACCATAAAACTATATCAGCCCGATTCACTGAACCCTGAATTAAAACACCTTACCTCTGACCTTCTCTCTAATAATTCCCACATTTCAAGCGTTCCATCACAGAATACACTTCATCACAACCTTCCATTAGCAATAAGTCCGAAAACAATCCCACACTTGCCACACTGACGACATATCAAAAGTTCGTAAGAAATATAACGTCAAAACCAGATTTACCACTTGTCGAAAAATGTCTCAACATCTTTGATCCGTCAAAGACAAAATTCCTTTTGAGATGCCAGGAGCTTACAGCATTCCATGCATATACGGAAAAGAATACATTGGAGAGACCGGACGGAAAATATCAACTAGGCTCAAAGAACATGAAAGAGCCTTAAGACTAAGAGAAATAAAGTCAGCAGCAGTTGCCGAACACAATCACGAAACCTGACATAAAATTTTATTCGATAAAACTAAAATTATTGTATATACGCAACTCAGGTCACCAATATGGGAATCAGTCGCCCGAAATTTATGCCCCTAATTTAGCTCTGCCCCCCTGAAACAATATATAAGCAGGTATAGAGTAAAATGCGAACCAGTTTCAGTCAAGCTCTGATGAAGCCAAATGGATGATTGGAGAAACGTTAGCAAGTTCGACTCAACAACAACGACGCAGAATGAATCCCGAAGTTTTGTAAATAGTATCACAGTAGTCTGTGGATTAAAAAAAAAGGATGATATACCGTAGCATGGTAAAACATTGCAGGATACAAATTATTTTATATTTTCGCATTATTCTTAATTCAATATAAGTTTCAATATAAGTTTAAATTTAATTACCTGTTGTAACGGCTCTGTCAAACCAGTTTTTCTATTTTATGCAAATTAGAATGACCCCAGTGTATTTCGTGAAAACTGAAATGCCGAAAACCATCATTGCAATTTATCTGAACTTTACGATAAAATCTTTTAGTCCATCCTGTTGGATAATCCCTGTACTTGGAAATGTATATTCTATTACTTTTTCGCATTATGAAATTAGGTACATTTTTTTTTTTAAATGAATAATACATAATTTTCAAAAACTTCACCCTGAGATTGAAGTTCGTTGTATGCAGATGTCGGACAATAGTTAGAGAATGCCAATTGCATTTTGATTCGCTAGGTTTAAAGTAAAATAGAGTTAAAATTCAGTGTACAAGCTTAAAAACTTCAACCGCAGATTTTCTTGGTGCGATTTTTCAATTTTGAGGAGTTAATTCTTATTCACAAGTTTTCGGACCCGGTCGTGGAAAAATATATTACCGCGTTTTTCGCAATTATCAAGTACCCTTGACTAATTTTTAATACGTCTAATGGGTATTTATTTAACGATTTAATTGTAAATTGATGCGGACGCAAATTACTTTTCGTTTTCAATTTATAAAATGACATCGGCCTATTAGCGACCTTCCGCGAATTCATTACACGTTCTGCCGTGCCGGGCTGTTTGGCCGTAAAATTCAGTTGCTAGAAAGAGTATGATTAATTAATGATAATAACAAGAAAATGAGAAATAGTTAACAACAATTAAAACCGTACTACTGATATACTAAGTATGAAAGGACTGAAAGGCCACCGAAAATAATATACAGGCTTATTCACAGTGAGTGTTCTATTAGACGTTAATGGAGAATGACTTACGGTAAGAACCTACAATGTTACTTATGTAAGCAACTATGAGCTACCTATGTAAAATATTTTTGATCATGCGGTATTGCTAGACATACATTTAACTTTTTTTTTTGCTTTGTCGATTGAATAATCAATTTAAGCACGATAGCACAGAAAGTGCTATCGTAATGAATTATTTTTTATTTCGCATGAATTACATAACAAAATTACGGAAACATACCAAATTTGCTGACAAATAAATATTCGGACGCGAATGTTTATTGACCAAGAAATCAATGCTACCCATTAATGGTAAAACGTAGTGTGCTTAGATAAACGAGATGTCAGTTCGGGTTGTATCTTTCAAGTTTGTATAATAGTTGATAAGAAAATGACGCGTGGTGTTGCAACAAA